TCATCAAGTAATATAATATATCATAAGGTATGATTTATTAAGTCATGTACATATTTTTAAACTAGAAAGACTTTTGTATTTTAGCTAAAGGGATGAGGTTTATATCTTATAAAAGCTTAAAGGAAATTTTATAAAAAGTTTGTCTTCTTTCTTTCTTATTTTGGAAAATAAGCTTAGGGGACAAGAATTGGTTTCTTTTGGATTGTTTATTATAAGAGACATGTTTTAGAATCATGTCTTGAATGATATAACAAACTATAGGTTTTAGAGGTATGGAAAAGGCTAAAAGTACCAAGACCTACTGGTTAATAGTTTTGGCTTAAAGGCTTGCCTTTTCCTTCTTTCTTTGGCATGCAAACTGTAACATGAAGAGAGGTGTGAGAATCTTTCACTGTTGTTTATCCTTTTGAAGAAAACTTGCTTCTTAATACTATGTTTAAGTTCTTATTTTGATATGAACTTAAAGCTTAAGAGATTAAGAGTTCTACACCAGACTAGAATCTTAAATAAAGTTGGTTACATGTTGGTGTCTCAAAGGTTTCACCTTCTCCATCAACTTCCAGTACTCCCCTAGAGGATTCAAAGTCTATAAAGGTTGTTAAGATCTTCATATTCTATGGTTCTTGTTTTCTTTCCAAACTTTGCAAGAAGATACATGTTTGGTTATAACTAGTTTATAATTGTTCAAAAATACTCAAGTCTTCCATTGCTAAACTCTTATTTTTGAAACTAATTGTTGAATAAAATCCAATAGTTAAAACCTAGAATGATCAAGGAAAATTTCGGAGACTAGTGGTCATCGGAGACCAATTACATACAAAATAATCAAAACAAATGTTGTCGGAGACCACTGGTTGGCGAAGAAATCATAACTTGAGAGATAGGGGTGCGTGAAAGAAAAATAGAAAGAAGCCTTAAGATATGGAGAGCTCTTTTTTGGTGCAAGTGACATAGAAGAATAAAGAGGAGGGGTATATGTGAGGTTTCATGAACTGGAAAGAGAGAAAAGGGATCGGGGAGACTAATAGTTACAGGGGGATGATAGTTGGGGATTTTGAATGGAGAAGAGATAAAAGAATGAAGAGAAAAGATAAAGGCAAGAATAATAGGTTACCAGGATCTTTGGCGATGAGGTTGTGATGGTCGCCAGTGACGTTGTGATGGTTGGTGTGAAGGGGAGAAACAGAGAGAGCGCTTAACGAAGACGAGATAGATCATAAAAGTGATTAGGTTTGGGAGAGTGACAGGAGAGTTGTGAGAGAAAATAAAGAAAAAATAAGGTAAAATGTAATTTACCTATTAATAGATGTTTCGAATTTAATTCCTTAGGGGTGTATGCAATTTTTTCTATTTCCTTTAAATAATATTTTTCATGATTTTATGAGAATTTAATTTAATCAGTTTTTCAACCAAACACAAGAATTGATGGGAACTAAATTTTAATTCCGATAAAATCTAGTGAAATACTACGAACCAAACACCCATAGCGATCGACAAAATTTCAAAATGCCATGAGGATGAAGGAAACATAGGTGATGCTTGTTTTTTCGAAGCTAAAACGTTTGTACTCTGCGGACCACATCTACAACCCTCTGCAGCAGAAGAGGTGGACCAAACATCTGCAAACTACAATAAGAAGTCTGTTTGTTTTTTAATGTCTACAAACTGTTGAAATAAACAAAAATTAACCATACGATAGTTAGAAATAATCTTAAATCAAAAATTGATTTAATTTTAATCATATGCAAATCGAATATAAAGATCATTGTGATGATACGATTTTTAAAGATATTTATATAAAATAATTCGACATAATATTTGTTAAATAACAATAAATAAAATTATTAATTTGGCGAACAACATGTTCATTTTGTTAAAATATCCAAGACGATTGTTATTTGTTCGGTTAGCTTCAATAGATTTGGTAATTTTAGTTATTAAATTTATAATTTATTAATATTTGGTTATAGAGAATATAACACAAAAAAGTATTTATATAAAATTTACTAAACGGTTTTGAAATTATGTAAAGTAAAGATTAAATAAAATTTCAAATGCTATGAGGATGAATGAAACTTATGATATGTTTTGATGTTGCTAAATTTTCTGATATTATCTTCACCCATAATATAAAGCTTTCAATAGTCTTACAAACACTAAGAAATAATGAGAGTCCTAACCTAAAACACTCATGTACACCCCCACCCTCACCACGACTACAATGTTAAACAAGGCTTATGGTTTAGTGGTTACCGCAAGTGGGAGGTGGGGGAGAGGGTGGTTACGGATCATGTGAGGTAAGGGAGGGATGGTTTACTGAAAGATAGACGTAAGTTGTTACCGATCGTGGGAGGTGGAGGAAGCGGGAAAACATGACTTTGATACAGTACAATATAGGTTGAAACCATGGCTCTGATAATAGTACACTACAAATTGAAACCATAAATGAAAGTTATAGTAACAATAAATATCGATAGTGGGAGTGGTAGAGGATGGATATCGATCATGCTAGGTGAGTAGGACTGTAAACGAGCTGAACGTTCGACGAAAAGTTTGTTTATGTCTATTTATTTAATAAATGAACAAACATGAACAAAAATTCTCGTTCGTTTAATTAAACTAAGGAACATGAACAATGATCTCGTTTGTTCATTTATGTTCGTTTATGTTTATTTATATTCATTTATGTTCAATTTTTTTAATTACATTATTATATTATATGTTCGTTTATGTTAATACATGTTTAGTTGAGTTTGTTTGTCTTTGTTCGTTTATGTTCATTTAGCATGTTTATGAACATATATGACATATATGAACGAACATGAACAAGGTAATATGTTAAATGAACAAACATGAACAAAAAAAACTCGTTCGTATATCCGTTCATGTTCGTTTGTTTGTTCGGCTAACTTAAATGAATGAATATCAACAAGCCTTTGTCCGTGTGCTTGGGTTCATTTACAACCTAGAGGGGAGGGAAAGTACTGTATACTGGAACTAGAGATGTGGGAAGTGAATGGTTACAGGGAGGTATGTATATTGGGAGGAGGGTATCATCAATTTCTTTTTAATGCGTGAAATCGGTGTATACAATGTTTATTTATTTGTACCTCTTATAATTTAAAATTTAATTAATATATCTTACATAATAGTATAATATATACAGATAATATAGATGTACTATAATGCATATAATTATGGAGGATACGCTACACGTAATCTTATCACTTTTTTTAAAATCACACTTAGTATCTTGAGTGGCTCCGCTATTAAACACCGTGTACTCAAGACACGAAACATGCGATTACCACCTTATAGAGAATAATACATGGATTTAGCATAGGCTGATAATTATATTAACAACTATTTATAGTTATCTTGAATATATATATAAATAAAGAAAACAATTAGATATAGAAGATTATAGAAGATGATATACGGTAATATGATCTTACAGATATTAGAGGTGGCCTACATGCTACAGCCCTACACAGCCTGGCGACTGCATTTTACCACGTATCAACGGCTATTGGACCCCTGATTGGGTCACGTGTAATAAATCGCCCTTTCGCTCTCTAGTCTCTTCCTTATTTTGACATGCATTAAACAAGCTACAAACCACATCAACACAACACAACACAACAATTTATCTATTTTTCAGATATGTTTTCATGGGTGGAACGTAACGGAGGCTTAGGGGGGCCATGGCCTCCCCGTTTTTTTGTCTACTATTAGTATAAATCTAATATTAAACATCAAGAATTCTGTTTGCGGCCGAGAGAATAAAGAAGGAATTTTTTTCTTTTTACTTTTTTTTTTACTACTGTGAGGAAGAAGAGGATAATATTTCATTTTTAAATTGGTTTAGTTGATATATTGTAGCTAAGGACCTAGAAAGAGAACAAAAGTCAACAAAAAATTTTACTTTTCCATTTAGGCTAGAAGCCTAAAGCCAACATACGATCTAATTCTATTTATTTTATATATTTATTGTTT